AACACAATCCTTCAAATACTAATAAATAAATACAAATATTTTAAATCTTTCTATCAAGTAGCATGTAAGCTCTTTGAAGGGAGGGACTATTGCCATTTGTATCCCTAGCAATTATCAAAGTTCTTGGAACACTTTAGATACTTAATAAATTCTTATTGAATTGAATTAAATAATAGCTAATAATCATTTGCATTTATGTAGTACTTTTTAAGTGCTTCACAAAGCATTATCGCATGTAATCTCATTTAACAAAGGAACCATGTGATGAATTCCTTTTTTTCCCACATTGTTTTCTCTTTTTTTCATTCTTTTGAATTTGTTTTACAGTGTCTTGATTTCTCATAAAGTCACTAGCTTCCAATTGCCCCATTCTAATTTTTGAGGAAGTATTTTCCTCAGTAAGCTTTTGGACTTCCTTTTCCATGTGGCCAATTTTGCTTTTTAAGGCATTCTTCTCCTCATTAGCTTTTTGGACCTCTTTTGCCATTTGGGTTAGGTTATTTTTTAAGGTCTTATTTTCTTCGGTATTTTTTGGGGTCTCCTTTAGCAAGTTGTTGACTTGTTTTTCATGATTTTCTTGCATCACTCTCATTTCTCTTCCCAGTTTTTCCTCTACTTCTCTTACTTGCTTCTCAAAATCCTTTTTGAGCTCTTCCATGGGCTGGGACCAATTCATATTTTTCTTGGAGGCTTTGGAGGTAGGAGCTTTGCCTTTGTTGTCTTCTGGTTGTATGTTTTGATCTTCTTTGTCACCAAAGAAAGAGTCTATAGAGGCTCTTTTTTGCATTGCTTGCTTATGATCCCAGCCAATTACTTGAGTTATACACTTTTTGTTAAGGTAGGAGTCTACTTCCAGTGTGGAGAATGTACTGTCCCAAGCTTTGGGGGTTTTGTGCAACTGTTTTCAGAGATACTTCTAGGGACCTGTAAATTTTCAGTTTTTCCAAGGTGGTATGCTCAAGGGCAAGGTGTTTACTCCTTTCCTGGCCTGTGCTCTGGTAAATGAGTGACCACAAGCACTCTTTTCTGTCTTGAAACTGTGAAGAGGATTCTCTCTTCACTGCCACTAAAAGCTCCACCACGCCAATGCTCCTCTTTGCCTCAGGACTATCACCCCAAACTGTGACCCAGATCCAAGCATGGGCAAAGCAAGAGAATCCTGCACCAGAAGAGAGATCCCTGCAATCCCCTTCTGATCAGCCACTCTATTCCCCCTCAGCCTGTGGTATGGAAGCTCTGGGAGGCAGCTGCTGCACCGGAGCCACCTGCAGGGACTGGGTCTGGGACCCCACCGCACTTCTCTCTCACCACAGACTTTTCCTACTGACCTTCTAAGTTGTCTTTGGCGTTCATGGGTTGAGAAGTCTGGAAACCACCACAACTGCCCATGATTCAGTCCTCTGAGGCCTGCTTCAGGTTCGCTGAGGCCTGTACTCCTCTCCTAGCCGGGCACAATATACCTTTCCGATCAACCATCCAGGTTGTCTTGGGCTGGAAATTTGTTTCACTCTGTCTTTTTGTGGGTTCTGCTGCTTTAGAATTTGTTTAGAGCCATTTCTTACAGGTATTTGGAAGGGTTTGGGGGAGAACTCAAGCAAATCACTGCTTTTACTCTACAATCTTGGCTCCACTCCCTGCCCCATGATGAATTCCTTTGCAAATTAAACAGATAGATAGATAGATATACATATAGATATAGATATAGATATATACATATGTGTACATATACATGTACATAAATATAATTTGTTTTTAAGACCTGTGTTTCTCATGTAGAATTTTCTTAATATAAGAACAGACATATTTGAAATATAAAATACATTAGAGTATGATTTCCCCCATTTCTTATGTCTTCATGCTACACTCACTTGTCATATCCCTAACAACACATCTGCCCTATTTAAGACGTGTATTGGCCACTTCTAGAAAATTAATAAATGTCCTGTGAATTGAATTTAACTGGACAGTTTTAAATCCAACAACATGAAAAGGTTAATCCATTGTTATTTGAATGTACCCTTTTTGTCTTGCTTTTCCAAGTGGTTGTTTAAGGATATAGTTATTCCAGAAGGACCTCACTGAAACTACCATATATCTCACTTCTCCACTATGACTACATATATACACACATACATATATGATGGTTTGGCCCAACTCTCTTCCCCACTAAGTGGTAACCTCCTAGTAGGTGCTTTGAGGTATTCTAGGAATCTTAGTCCTTCTCTCATGGACCAGTAACCTTATGTCTTTCCCATCTGCCTCAACTGACATGGTAAAGTGAAATGAGCACTATGTTTGCAGTCAGAAGACCTGGGTTCAATTCTTAGTTCTGCCCTTTACTACCTATGTGACCTTACATAATCTCTTAACCTCTTGTATGTAATAGCTAGAATCTGTCAATATAGCTATTTATTTAAAAAGTACTAACATATAAAATGATAAGGCTGGAGTAGATGACATATAAGGTCATTTATTTTTTAAAATCTATGCTATGAACTGAATTTGTCTTGAAAAGTTGATTTCAAGACCCATCATGTGTAGCTTTCTGCAGGTATGAAAATTGCTAATTACGTCTGCCTGCTACTGTCCTCTGGCTATTTCCAGTTTATTAACATCCTTAATAAAATGTGGTATGCAGCAATGAGGGCAATTCATCCATTTTTTAAAAGACATTTAGCAAATAATTATTTCATTCAGTACTTTCCCTTATAAAACATCATCTCAAGTCTTTGAAAAAACATGTATTACATATGTCATATATAATATGTATGTATTTTAAAAACTTATGCTTTATTCTATTTCTGTGACTCACTAATAAAGAATTATTAAAGCTCAGATAACAAAAACTAAAATATATTTTCCCTTGTTTTTGTTCTGTGAAAATGATTATATTATGATGGGTAGTACCAGCAACGAAAATTGTTAAGCAAATTATTACAAAGTCCCTTTCATTAAAGATTCACAACAAAAATTTTACAAAGAAGAATCAGGCTTAAAATATTTGCTTAGGACAAAATGATACCTCATGCATCTCTGCTAAGAACCAACCTTATAAAATTCTATTCTCTCTATCTGTGTAGACTTCTGACTTTTGAACTCCTTGATATATTATTTAATTACATAATACTAGAGACGACAAAAGAGGTAATTTACCTTTGAAAATAATTATTTAGTGTCTACCTGATGCATAGATTTATGGTAGTCACTGGAGAAAACACAAAGTTTACAATCTACTAATTTATAGTTCAGTAAGAGGATAAGGGGGGCAGCTAGATGGTGCAGTGGATAAAGTGCCAGGCCTGAAGTCAAGAAGATTCATCTTCTCAAATTCAAATCTGACCTCAGACACTTACTAGCTGTGTGACCCTAGGCAAGTCATTTAACCCTGTTTGCCCCAGTTTCCTCATCTGCAAAATGAGTTGGAGTAGGAAATGGCAAACCACTCTAATACCTTTGCCAGGAAAACCCTAAATGGGGCCTGAAGAGTTAGACTTGAGTAAAATGACTCAACAACAACAAAAGAGGATAAGACACCAATACAGAATTCTTGTATGTACATTATTGAATAATAAACCTATTAGGAATCAAAATGGCATAAGAAAGCATCCATGAACGAGGTATCTAAAATGTCTCCTTTTAGACTCCTTTGAGAAACCATAGTTTGTTCACTATGTGCTTTATAGTCATGCTATAGTATTTTTATTGCTGAGTCAAGGAAGGAAAAGTAAATACATGAAAGGAAAAAGAGCTAAAGAAGTGGGTCATCCCACAGCTCATTCTCGTAGACCTACGAGAGACATATTTATAGATACGCCTTTTGATAAGAGTACATCTTCCTGTGTTTCATTCAACTAATAATCAAACAGAAGCCCCTTTTGCTGAGGACCAATTAGAGGAATTCCATATGTCTTCTTAGCAAGGGACTGTCTAGCTCCTTGGGAGGTACTCCCTTCTGACAAAGACTTATATCCTGTAATTTAATTAGGTTCATTGAATGGATCATTTATTACAGTTTTCCAGATCACCCAATTATAAAACAGATAAAAATAACAACAACAACAAAAACCCCATTAATATGAGGTCTGAAGAACAAAGAAAAACTGACTTGTAGGGATTAGAAAAAGGCATTTGAGTTAGACTTTGAGGGACAGAAACAAATTCACATGGGTTGAAGAAACTTATTCCAGAAATCATATAAGCAAAAGGCATGGAGATGTTCAGGGTGTGTCCTTTTTTTTTTCCGGCCAAAGACAAGGTTTATTAAAGAGCTGCCATAGTGTCCAGCACCTTGTGAGCTATTGGCTAAATTGTAAAAATCTGAGCAGTGGCTAGATTATAAGAATTTGAGCATCTTCATGGAGACAAGATAGACCTTAAATGCAGAAAGACTATGAGAGGGATCTAGGAGTGGCCAAGTAGTCTATGAGTAATAGAACTCCAGGGACCTGGACCACTTGGCCAGGGGAGAAGAGTCTAGATAGGATTAAGGGTGAGAAGTGGCCTGGGGCCATAGGGAGGTAAGAAAATGGAAGACTAGGCTAGGTCAAGGGTAACAGAGAATTGGGAGATGAGTGTAGCCACAATGAAAGGCCAATTGATGGAATTATGGCCTCACGGGAATGCCAGAAACCTCCTTCTTGATCAAGTGTGAGAATTCAAGGACAGTCCAAGGGTTTTCCTTTTTGGAGTCTAGATCCCATTCTCATAATTCCCCCCTCAAACAAATGGAACCCATAGCTGCGGGGTAAAGGGTGCAAATCTTGGCTTCTGAAACTGCTTCTAGTTTCAGAAGGGGCACAGTGCTGTCCCTGCCTTGAAGGGGTCCCAAAGAGGTGGTTGGTTGGAACAAAGCACAAGCTACATCTAGGGCACAATGGGGGGACATTGGCTCATACCTGCTGTTTGCTATCAACTATAGATGAATGGCCTGTAGTCTGGAAGACACAAATCTGACAGAAATGACTGCAGGGCCCAGATATGATAAGACAAAACATCCTTACCTTTGTTTGGATTCAGGTAACTCAGTTTTCCAATCATATTTTCCATTTTTCCCATTTCTAGTTTTCCATCAAATCCACTTCATAGCCAGACTCAGGAATAGCCAGGTAGGTAACATTCCTTTTCAAAGGAACATAATGGGGAAACTGAGCCAGGAGGAACCCATCTTAGACTGAGGCTATAGTTGTCCTCTCAGCTTTGCCAGATGTTAACTTCCCAACAGTCTCACATTCTCTTTGAGTAGCTTGAGGCATTTCTCTCAGATGGTGGATTATTAATTATCAATGGATTATTATGATCCATCACACAGCAAGTTTAACTAATCATAGCCTAGGAAAAACTTTTCCAAGATTTACATCTCAAACTTAGATTTGTCCTAATGTAAAAAGCCAATCATTAGAGATTATTTCTATATACTTGCAAATTCTCAGCAAGACAAAACCCAAATGAGCTTTTTGGCAAGTTTACACATTAAAACAATAACCAATAATAGTGAAATTTTTTTGATGGTAAACAAATTATGAAAAGTTGCTTGACATAATTCCCTGATGCAAAACAATTATCTCAACTTTCTCCCACACTTCTGGGGGAATATGGGGAACTCTGGTGCACAGAGGGAAAAGGGAGACGGGAGGCTTGACTGGAAGATTGACTCCCCAACTTCACCATTAGGTCCCTTCCTAACAAAGGGGCAGGGCAAGAGGAAAGAATATTCAAACAACAGATCCTCAAATAGGTAGGGGAGAGGGTATATCTGGAAACATCTCTTAGTTTTCCCTTCAATGCCCACTGGGCCAAAAGGCAGGTAGGGACAGAGTAATTGGTTAAAATAGAGAATGGAGCTATGATAAAGTGAGTAACCTTTGGCCTTGATTTTTGCCCAGGGCTTGACAAGAGAGATGGAGAAAGTGGATGTGCTGCCAAGCCGCAGCCTCCCCTGTCATTCCCAGTGCTGAGAAGACTGGAGGATGGGGTACTTGGGGGCAACTCCACCACTTTTCCAACCTTGGAGACAATCCTTCCTCCAATATCCTTCCTGGTCACGTCTTGGGCATGGTCCCAGAGGCATCGGTCATGGGAGCTCCCTCTGTGCGGGGGGGGGGTTGCCCTGGAGGGGCATTTTTTGGACCAGTGACCCTCTTGGTGGCATCGAAAGCAGGTTTACCCACTGAAGGATTTGCTAGGAGCACCTTGGGTCTTTTCCTGGCCTTGACAGTAGCCAAGAATTGAGCATGTTCTCTGTCTCTATCCCTTTCACTTCTTGTTCTTTCCTCTGCTGCTACTAAGTCTCTGTTGTTAAAAACTCCAAAGGCCATCTCCAGTAATTTTTAATAGCTTCTACTAGCCTGTCTTGGAAAATGGCAGGGTTTTCCTTTTCTCCCTGAGTAATTTCCTTAATTTTTTTGAAAATTTTCTTGCTTATGAAATGCAGTTCTTAGGACTTCTAGCAGGCAAATTACCATGTGGTCTCTCTTTGCCCTATCCTCACTCTTTGGGTAATCCCATCCTGGGGTCAGTAGTGGGAACAGCAGCTGTTCCTAGGGGGTATTTTGTGGGGTCATTGCTAGCCAAATGGTCCCCAAATTTTTGGGTCCTCAGTACACTTAGTGGGATCTTCTGAGTATTGCCCCAGTTTCTCCTTGACCAGAATGAGGTCTGAAATGGAGAATGGAACATGCACCGTAATTGTCCTGTTAGGCAAGGTAGAACTTCCCTTAAGGGAAAAAGCCCTGAAGGCCCTGTGGGAAGTGGGGCTAGGGAGGAAGAGAGATATGAAGTCTCATTTCTTGTGAGTGAGGGACTGCTAGCTGAACTGGACTGGACTGCAAAGCCAGGGGATCTGGCTGGCAAGGGGAAAAATCAGCTGGCACTGGAGGAGGAAGGGGAGGGGTCAGGAGAGGAGACGCCATAGAGACTGGGGCCTGGGTAGTCCTTGCCTCAGGGTAAAGAGCCTGGGGAGGTGGTGCTGAGGCAAGGCACTTGTCCTAAACCTGAGTAGGAATCACCTCCAGAACAGGGGCCTGGGGAGGAAATGCAAGGCAGGATACATGGAGGGTGAACAAGGCAGGATATGAAGGGAGGTGGGCTAGAGGAAAAGGGAAGGTAAACCAAGGGAAGGAGGGGTGCATGGGAAAGAGGGGTGGCCAGGGGAGAATGGGGTGAAGATAGGAGCTGGGGAACAGAGTATGGGAAGAAAGCCATACTCTAGCACTGGGGGCCATAAGAGGGTCATCCAAAAAATCTAGTTGATTTCCATTCCCCATTTTGGGGATAGCTCTAGCTACAAGCGTCCTACAATCTTTTCTGAGAATGGCATCACAAGAAAGTTTGACAAAAGTCTTTATGTAGGAAATATCCACCCATTTTCTTTCTCTGCTACAATATTGTTCTAGCTCTGAGAGGGTATGTTGCTATAATGTCCCAAAAATCGGTCATCCCTCATAATTTTCCAGGTGATACTGAGGCCAAACAGTGTTGTAAAATAACACCAGCCTTTTCTTTTTAAGTTCTTTAGAGAAACTAAATTTTTCCCAATTTTGTAAAACACAGCCCAAAGGCAAATCTTTAGGAATTTAAGAGGACCGGCCCTTTTGTGGCCTGGAGGCTTGAAGTCCCTCTCTCTTTAAAGGAGGATATGGGAATAAGCCTTGGGAAACAAACAAAAAAACCAAAAGCCCAAAGAAGTACCTTAAGTTTCCCAAGTCCCTAGTGCTGAGAGGATTGAGAGGATTGGGCCTATGCTCCTGGATAGGGCGCCTGAAGATGTGCCCAGGTCCATGGTCTTGAACAGAATCACTGGAGAAAGAGCCTGAGAGCATCAAGCTGAGTTTGAGATAGCCTGATAGCTGTCTGAACTAATGCGACCTAAGAGGTCAGGCTCAGAAAAACACTTCCAAACCAAGCCTTGCTAGGTACTTGGAAATCCCCTCCAACCACAGGGCAAGAAAAGAATTAAGGAGAGGGGGAGGCTTACATATCTTCCAGTCTTGGCTGGAGAAGAATTTGGGATTTGACAGTTATTCTCAGTGCAGGAAACTATATGATGAGGTCTAGAGATTTAGGGGTGCTGGAACCCCAACATCACAAATCCTTCTTTCAGCCAAAGACAAGGTTTATTAAAGATCTGCCATATTGGCTAGACTCTTAAGGAATCTGAGCACCTGTGAGTTATTGGCTAGAATGTAAAAATCTGAGCAGTGGTTAGATTATAAGAGTTGAGCCACAGGGTGTGTTCTGAGGGCAGGTGGCTATACTACAAAAATGTATGTGATGAAACCTAAAGGTTCAACCAAGAGAATTTGTGCTTTATTCAATAGACGATAGGAAGTCACCAAAGCTTTTTGAGCAGAAGAGTGACAAGACCATAATTATGAAGAGCTATCCAGTGTCACAAAGAATGGATTAGTGGGATTAGAGGAGAGAGTAGAGATGGGAATATTTGTTGGTAGGCCATTGATATAGTCCAGAGAGAGGACATGAGGGCTTATACTCGGGTGGTAGCAGTGGAAATAAAGGAGATGCAAGGGAAAGGGATAACTCAAAGGTAACATGAAGGTTTTGAACAAGGAAGATGAGACAAATGGTAGTTGGTTCTATTGAAAAAAAGTGAAGCCAGAGATAGGACCAAAATTGATGGAAAGCTAATGCAGCCACATAAGAATCACAATAATAAGCATAGACTTCAGCATGTAAAGGAACATTCAAGTGTAGATGTTTAGTAAGGGTTTACAGATGCAGATGTGGAATTCTGGGATATCAGGATGAGAGATTAGAATCTAAGGGTCACTTCTTTATTGAGGCTATATGAATGAATGAAATTGACAAAGGAGAGAAAGAAAAGAGGATTATGATGAGCTCTTTAGGAGGAAATCATTTTAAGGGATTAGGAAAAGAATCAGAAGTCAATGAAGAGGATTAAGAGAGGGAAATCAAGAGTTGGAGAAGAATCACATGAGTGCATTGTTTCTGAATTTCAGGAAGGGTGAAGTACCAGGGTGAATGAGTGGCTAAACAATGCTGCAGAGTAGTCAAGGAAGATAAGTGTGTATGTTGGGGGAGGGGGTGCTCCCATATATTAGTTCAAAAAAATTTTAAAGTAATGAGGGAACTTCAATAATTATCAACATATTTATGCCTACTTGCCCACCCATATAAAGTTTTTATAAGGTTCATCTATACATGAACTGAGGTCACCTTTTATTAGGGCATTAATAGGAAATAATATTGTCATAAGTGATACTTAATAATAAACCACAGCTTTATCATCAGAGAACATAAGATCCCGTTGTGCTTATTTTTTGTTATGGAGAAACTTGGTAGAACAAAAATTCTGACTTTGCAGGCTCTTTTAAAACAGTGTTACCATTTACATATCAAAATCATTCAAGATTCCTTGGAATATGTAACAATAAAAATGTTTATTCACTGACTCTGGGATAATAAACCACAGGGAGGCATAAAACAGGGAGATCCCATCTTTTGTAATACCAAAGATCTTTGCCACTGGGATGGAGGAAATCTAGTACAGAGCACAAGTCTAGGACAGATTCCCTGTGCTTTGTGAGGTCCTTCAAATGCCTTTTTTTGCAGATAACTTTGTGCTGGTTACATTGTGTCTCAATATCACAGAACCTCTTGGAAGACATTTGTAATCAATCAAAGGATTTCGACTTGTCTATCTACATAGGAAATGCTCATTGGATGAAGAAAATCTATTGCTTGTATTTCAACATGTATCTGACTAGATACTCTATAGGCCTTGAACAATATGTTTATCTGGGACAGACAGTACAGATAGATAATGAGCTAGGCTCATAATTGAAAAAGAGGAAGAGTGGGATTGCTTTCAGAAAACTGCAAAGCACTGACCCCAACTTTCTCATAAAAGGGAAATTTTATGGGTCTGGTTTTTTTTTCAATGGAAACATTGATACCTGTATTGTTGTACAGCGATAAGACTTAGAATCTCATTGCATCTGTAAACCTAAAAATGAGCCTCACACAAAGGGCAATGAAAAAGCACATGGCATGCAGAGGCTGCAACAAATAAGCAACAAGAAACTAAATAACAGGAATAAGAGATGTCATGAAAGAAGTATATGAAAGAAAAATATGAAGAACAGGTTAAGTAGTTATAATGAAGGATGATCAGTGAATAAAGGGTCCACTGCCATGCTCATAACATTGGAAGAACAGAAGGAAGATGTTGGGATGTTGGGGGGACCTTCTGTGTTAAATATTGGGAGGACACACAGAAGAGCTACACTAAATGTGTAGGCACAGATAGAGTGAGATATGAGGGTATTATTCATAAATAAATGAGATCACAAAAGCATTTGAGTCACTTAAAGTGTAACAATTTGTCCTATGGCTATTTCTATCTGAACTTTTTTTTGAAGATGAGAATGAGCTGAATAACAACAAAAATAATAATAACTGGTATTTATATAGGTCTTCGAGAGGCTAGTTGGCACAGTGGGTAGAGTGCTGGATTTGGAATAAGGAAGACCCATCTTCAAATCTTACCCTGACCTATATTAGTTATGTGACCATGACAAATCACTTAACCCATTAAGGGTTCTTACAAATGGCAGGTTGTTTCATTATTGATGGATATACTGCTATACAAAAGTGTAACATCCTCGTAACTTGAGGAGGGCTGCCTGGGTCATACTCACCTGCAGTCTTCCGGGTCCCCGGATAACGAAGGAGTGGAGTAGACAGAGAGATGTAGTTTCAAAAGGTTTATTCAGCCATTGTCTCAAGCGGGTAAGTAACTCCGCTGGTCCTGCCTTCAGCGTTTTATATCTTTTACTAATGGGAACATACCCCAATGTAACAGTGAATAAAGCAACAAAGTTTACATATCTTTACCAATAGGCAACACCGAGAATTTCTCGCATGCGAATACCAATCAAAGTATCAGCAAGTACATTTCTTTGCAACATTGTCCTGACTGTGTCCTTCCCCTGTGCTGTACCCGTAAAAACACCACGTACTTCTTGTTCCTGGAATGTTCCCAATACTCGATGTGTGAGCTGGCAATACTTGATACATACTTGTGCTAGAGCTGACTGTGCTTGAGCTGGCAACATTGTTTATGGTTGAGTTTGCCTGGTATCAGAGTTCTGCTGATTGGGGGTGCAAGGTCCTTGGATGGAGAACCGAGCCAGGATATTCTGCACATGTACTAACACCTGAGAGGGGCCTTCGCCCATCAGTGAAGTCTCATGAATAGCCTGTGGTCCTCAACGTCCTACAGATTCCTAACACAAAAGGATTTACATGTATTATCTCATTTGAGATTCACAACTACTTTATGAGTTAGTTATTATAGGTATCATTATTACCATTTTGCAGATAAGAAAATTAAGGCTCAAAGAGCTTAAGTAATTTACTCATAGTCATATAAATATTAAGTGTCAGAGCTGGAATTTGAACCTAGGTCTTCCTTATTTCAAGTCAGATTGCTGCAGAAAATCAGTCCATATATAATTCAGGCCACAAATTGGATCTTTTAGCCTGTGTTGTCTCGTTGGATCATCCATCACATGTATATTAACCACACAATTGCCCTTTGCCTTGTGCTTTGTAGAGGCAGTTTTAAAGTTTCATGCTTGTAAGGCTAAATTGTGATAGTGTACTATGCTTAAACTATGACAAAAATCGTTTCAGGTGTCATAGCAAAAGCCAAAACCCCAGGGAAGCAATTAACGATTTAGCATTTCCAGTTCACGTGGGAATATGAATTCCACTTTCTGAAGAGAACATTGTAGATATGCTCAGTATAATATGCAAATATCTCAGCAGAGCTGGTGGGCATCTCTGCTGGACTTCTTTTGAATCGATTACCTTACGAAGTTAAACATGGGTATGTCTTTCATTACTACGGTCATATGTAACTAAAGCACTATCTTAAATAGCCTTATTAGAGTGAGGATGACTACCTCCATGACTAATAACATAGGGAATTGACAAAGTAGAAGAGAGAGGAAGAAATGAAAAGAGGCGGTAGGGCATGGGGAAGAAATGGCATCTACTGGAATCAATAGCTCTATTTCCTGATAACAAAAAATATATTTGCAAAGTACTAAGCACGGTGCCTGGTACATAGTCGGTACTTAATAAATACTTTATTACTTCTTTTTCCCTCCTTTTCCTCTTTGTAATTATTACTAGGTTCCCTGAACAAACTGAAAAACTGCTGGTTCCCAGCTGATTTAAATTTTGCATACTGGAAGAAGGCTATTTTGAACAGACCTTTAGCCCTTGGCGGAATGGTTCTGCAAAGCTCTCCCCCTTGGGCTGACATGATGAAAATCTTTTCAGGTTGATAAATCCAAGGAGTTATTTAGTTGTCGCAGTCCTTCCCCCCAGCATTGTGAAAATCCTGTATGCTGGGGGTCTAAAATGATAGACAGCCCATAGCAACTTTTGCCCAACTTTTAAGGCAATGTGTCAAAGGATAAAATGGTCAGAAACAGAGCCAGGTTTAGGTGCCCTGACAACCATGCAGAAAAGGTCAAAATAAAGAAAAGACATTTCAGTTCCCATGGATAGTTTTTAAGTTTTCATTCTCTCTTTTTCAGTTTTTCATTTAAAAGCCTGAAATTATAGATAATTTTCACTTTCAAATACCAGTGCCTTCATTCCTTTATTGCCTTGGAAATATGACAAAGTTAATATTTTGCCTTCTTTGAATTCATTCTCCGCCTCTCAAATATTTTCTCTTCTAGATTTGAGGTTGGGTTATAAGGTATAAAAATGACAAGCAACATTTTTTTTTTTGGTGGGAAGAGGTAGGGTCTTAAAGCTTGATATTAAATGAGAAAAAAACAAGTTTTTCATTTTCATAATGTTGTCTGTTTTATGATAAACAAATTGAGGATTGTATATTGATGTTATAAGTATACATATAATTACTGCTTTAATTATACATGTGATTGCTGCTTAACTTTATAATGCATTGTTACCATGGAAGTGGGAGATCTTAATTTTCAAAGAATTTTCCACAATATTAATTTCTCTTCATTTTTGGTGTGAGGTTTTTTTTTTCTTATTTTTTATTTTTTTAAGACACATTTAAGAATAAATGTCACTCTGGTTATGACCTTAATATATTTGAATATACAGTGATCATGTGGGTTCTATTTAATGTTCTTGTGAGTGATAGGAGTTTTTAGCTCTGTAAAGAATGTTGATATAATTTCCAAACTCTATTTAATATTCACCTTGCCTTTTCCTCCATAAACATAGAAAAAGGTTCAGCAGGGTCACTGAGATTTCTTTTACACCGTAATGAAAAGGTTAAGTGCTCACAAATGTGTTTCTGTACAGACAGGCGTGTATAGGGCAGAAAATTTTACCAAAAGGATGATGTTGTTTATGTAAGAAAAGCTATTATTGGATGGCTTTTTCCCATTAAAGAAAAAAATAACCACAATTAGTAATGATATGATTTCCCCCCAGACTTTAAAGGAGCATCTTGTCTTTGCTATTTGTTTCAGTACAAGTCTCATTCATTGGGATCATAAAATCACAGGTCAAGAACTAGAAGGGACAATGATAACATTTAGTTAAACCCTCTCATTTTACAGATGAGGAACTGAGGCACAAGGAAGTTAAATGACCTGCCCAAGGTCACACAGGTAACAGGTAGCAGAGCCAGTATTTGTACCTAGGTCTTCTGATTCCCAAATTTTGTACTTTTTATGTAAAACGAAAAATTACTTATGTTTTACAACACAGTCATTTCTTAATATAATTCAGCCCCTGTCCCTGCCCACTAACCCCACCTGTAACAAAGGAAAACTGTTAAGCAAAAATAAGCCAACAAAACAATGCTATCTCAGCAGTTGTTCTCATCCATAATTACCCACTTCTCCACCAATAGTTGCAGAAGCCTGTTTGATTATCTGTTTTCTGGGATGAAAATTGGTCATTGCACTGAATGTAAGTTAGATGCCTTTTCATATTATTTTCCTTGATATTACTTTAGTAATTTTACTTACCTCTTCTGTTTTCTTCACTTTGCACTGCCTCACCATCATCATTTCAAACATCCTTTAGCTTCATTTACTTTTTCTAAGGTGAGTTAGATTAAATCTAAGGTTCTACATTGGAAGCAAAGGAAGAATTTGGAATATTTGTAGTGCCTCGTACATAGTAGAAACTTAACAAATATCTGTTTTATTTTTCCAAATAGATTGTAGGATCACAGATACAGAGCTAAAAGAAACTTCAGAGGTTTTAATTGGGCAAATGAGACCCTGGAAAGGTAAGTGTCCTGTCCAAGTTCATACAGACAGCAGGCATTAGAAGTGAGACCCTTACTAAAGGTCTGCTGGCCACAGGCCATGGTAATTGAAGGTAAAATATTATTTCTCATTTAAATAGTGCATTATGGTTTATAACATACATACATCTACATATATGAATTTCTTTGGTTCTCACTGCAAACCTGTGAATAACCATCTAAGTATTATTATCCCTATTTTCTCCATAAGGAGAGTCACAGAGATGTGAAGTAGTTGCTGAAGGCTGCATGAGCTTAGCAGGTGATGAAGATAGGCCTTCAACCCAGGTCTTACAACCTGGTTTGAGTCTCTTTTCCAAAACATCATGTTACATCTCTGTTGTGGTTAAATCAGGCCAGTGAGTTCTCTTTTAAGGCCTCAGGCTGGCCGCATAGCCTCAGCTAGGCAGCTTAAAGTCATTAGATCATATTTCCTAGCTTCCTTTGTGTTCTGGGGGCCAAGCATAAGGTGAAAGTTGGATGATTTAATTGTTGCCAGCCATGGAAGGCAAACTTCAGCATTCCATTGTCATGGGCTGATTCAAACCTTAATTTACAGTTTCTGTTAGTCTTACTTGAGTAAATGCACATTTCCCCCCATCTCTGACTGGTAGTACCTCAGTCTCTTTAGGAACTATAATACTGTCCTTCCTGCTTTTGCCTTTGGCTGCTTTCCCAATAGGAGAGGGTAGAATTATCCCATACCCCCTAAGGAGGCTGGGAGGGGACACAGCAGGGGTGCTTCCTTAGTCCCTTCAACCACTGGCAGGGAACATTCACAAAGGCACCCCTGGAACCAGCTAACAATGTACTTTGTGACGAGTAGTACCCATGCCTCCACATTCATGTATAGCAAGCCCATGGGAAATAATATGCAAATATTAATTATTTGGAGATAATAATATGTGTACAGCCTTTGATCTGTGTGTACAGCTCCCATTGAAGTTCCATTAGGAAAACAAAAACACATTCACATTCAGGGTTTGCCCAACTTATTTTTAAGGAAGCGTGGGTGTATTTTCAAGGAGAAAGGTACAAAAAACCACTACTTTATAAAGGAGGACTACCCATCTGGTGACATATGCAGTTTTTAATAGTAAACAGAGAAATGAAGAGAGGTTTTAGAGATTAAACTTTTTGTGCTCTACTTCTGGGAAGGAAAATTGGATTGCCTAACTTTGATCTTGATAGTTTTATGGGTCAAGACTGGCTTAGAGGAGTCAGAAACAGACCATTTGATTTAACAATCTCTCCAGAGTAGGCAAAGCAGAGAACTGAGGTAATTTTTCATATTATTCACGTATATGAGGAAAAAAAAGCCAAATCTCTTATAGATGAAAACTTCAGCAATTTTTGTTTGGTTTTGGTCTGAACTGTCTCTGTACTTTGAATAATAGCTTGTTTCCCCTAAATTTAATCACTGGAAGACATCAGTAATGGGATTCCAAAATCATTTGACTTGCTCC